AGTACCACGTGACCACGCCTTATAATACAGTCTGAGGCAACAATTGCTTTGCTGGTCTACAAAGTTTTGGGTTCGGATATGATTCCATCAGTGATGATTACAACGTAATGCAGATTAATAGCTCTAGTTCAACTCGAGCATGTATATATACAATCAAAGTATACAGCTTGAGAAATGATACTTGGAACTGGAAAAGAAATAAAATTCCTTATAAAATCCCTTCTACGAATATGGAACTATGGACGACTTCAAAGGTGTGGTTGATGGTGGTGCTCTACATTGGTTGGCCAATTGGGATTATTATTCGGCGCCACACAACATGAATTTTTTCGTTTTTTTTGCGTTTGATCTCGCCACCGAGTTGTTTCATGAGATTGCATTGCCCAAAGATGCAAAATTTAACGCCTTCGGAGCAGGGGCGGAGGCAGAAATTTTCTTCAGGGGACAAGATGCTAAAATTTTCAAAGTTCAGGGGGGGTTAAATAATTTTTCATATACTAATTATATACTGATTTGCAAGATTTTCAAATTTCAGGGGGACGAGTGCCCCCCTCGCACCCCCTGGCTCCGCCACTGCTTCGGAGCACTGGGAGGCAACCTTGCAGCGACATCTCATGAGTATACTCGTAAGTATACTGAAGGAGAAATAAATGTGGACGTTGATATATGCGTGATGGAGGACAGAGCAAAGCAGTCCAGGACTAAATTGTACCGGATATTAGGAAACAGATGGTCCAAACATCCAAGGCCTCTAGCCTACTTGAGAAGTGGTACTCAAATCCTGTTAAAGGGTTATAATCGTTGTTCCAGCCCTATTCTGTACAATCCGAGGAATGGAAAAGTGGAGGATTTATATAATGAGGAAGTGATGCAAAAGTTTATTGTTGGATTGAGTTGAATTTTTGTCTAGGTGTTTACAGAATATAGATCTACATTTTGAATGATCAGTTTTTCATTTGGAAAGTTTTGTTTTTGTGTTGCAGCCTCATTTTCTTTGTTGGTTTGTAATTTATTATTCCTCTTATTTGGTACTGTTTTTGAATCCTTTCAAAAAAAGATATTGTATACTCTCTTTTATTATAATGAAGTTTTTTTTTTTTTTTTTTTGGATTAGATGTCTCATGGTTTTTACTTATTTTTACAGTTTTTCACGTAAAAATACTGTGTCTCTTGTGATGGTTGGTTTGTTTTTCTTTTTTGAACAGCAAAAAATATTTATTTAATAAACGGAGTACAAGGGATACCTTAAACCTATAAACATCATATTACATGAGTAGAATAGTCTTTCTATATGGTATCGACCCCTGAATTGTGTGTCAACACCACGTCTGCGTCGGAGTTTTAGATGCTTACCATATGGTGTCGACACCAAAATTATGTGTCAAGACTATACCCGTGTCGGATTTCTGTCCTCTTTTGTAGTTTCTTCATATATCACTGTTTTGATCCTCAAAAACTTCCCACTTGTCAAACCCACTAGCACGCAAAGTAGAGTCTGCCATAATACAAAACAGATATTTACTGAGCATCTACTGACTCTGCCTTAATTTCAAGTAGAGTCAATTAGTTGTTCAATGCAACCTATGAGATTACATTTGAGGGTTGGTTTGTTGTTGCCATTTCTACTATTTTGTCTATTTTTCAGCTGTTGTCAGAATTTATTTAGACTCAATTTAGCTTGCTCCTAACAATTTCAAATAGATTGAAGAAGTTTTTGGTGTTGCTTTGTTTTCTACCATACTCAGATTACAGCCCGTTCTTCCCAACAATATTTGTCAAGCGCACCCATTTGGAACAAAAAGAAAAAGAAAAAGAAAAAGAGAGAACATAAATGAGTTTGAATTGTTAAAAGTAAGGAGTAAATAAAAAATTTAACTTAAAAAAAAAAGAAAAGAAAGAGAAATCTATTGGTGTCACGGAGACTGCCTCCGTAGGCTTGGTAAGGGGCCCCTCCCCCTAGCATTTTCCATTCATGATAGAACATAGAAACTTAACCATGAGTATTATTGAAAGAGTTTCCAATTTTTCCATGAATAGGTAAGGTTATTGATTGAACATGTTTGTATGCAAATGGACTTTACCGTAAAAAGGATCAGAGTATTCCTATAATTTATTAAAGACAATTAGCTCACATATAAGAGAAAAGATTTTGTTTTTCCTTTAATCCTTTCTTTTCATGAACGACTCTTTCCTCCATCTTCTATGCTTTTTCATTCCATGGTCTCTCTAGCTTAACACAATATAATTTAATATAACCACAATTATAGTTATAATCATAATTTTTCACAGCAATATTAAACATATCCTCCATCTAAAACACCTATGTGAAATTAATAAATGTGTACTTATACCTCCACATTGTATAATCTACATATGATCTAAGAATATATTATTATAGTTTAAAATTTCATATAAAATCTATAAAATATTAATATTCTCGTCAAATTGCTCAACTTTAATTCAAACTCAACATTATCCGTATTATATTAAAAAAATATACATATAAAATTAAAATAAAATTTAAATCCACTTAAATTATATAGCTTTATTAAATTTTACCATTTTTCTATTTAACCTCTTTTTAACAACCAGAAAACAGCCAGCTACGGGCGTCACAGGCCGACAGCCGCATGTGAATGTCTAATATAGGCTTTATTCCATTTTAGTAAGACTTGAGAACTCACAATGGAGTAGAAAGAAGAAATGATTTTACCAACATGAGGACGAATTGCCAGTTGGCCGAATTGCCTTAGCAAGGGCTTAGCTTACAGCATCTTGGTCTTGCATGTCTAGCCTGAACCTCATAA